TTCATGGTCAACATCCAAAATCGTCGATATTTGCCACTGTTGACAGCGTTCAGGACGGCTTCTGTATCTATTCACTGCTCCAGGCTGCTGGTTGTATCCAAAATGGCTCTGTTCTTCAAGTAAACTTTGAGCTGTGACAACTGTGTTATTAATATTTAAGACTTCTGGTATCCCTTTAGGGCAACATGTGAAATCCTTTCATTTCTTGCAAACAGTCCAGCAGAAGTGGAGAGGGTTTTATGTGTTATGTGAGTCCATGACTGACAGATCATCTTGGCAAAACCTAGTGGGCAGTAGGTTTATGCATGCATGGGACGAATCCTCCTCATGTTTGTGTGGGTTTATGCCGGGGAAAGCAAGCTGTGTGAATCACTACGGTGGAACATACGGTGTTGAGTGAAAGCTGACCTGGTGAACTCAGAACCTGGGGCTGTTTCAGGGAGTTCTCCTCACCGTGGCTGCCTTCAGCTGAAACACGCTCCAATCAATACACCAGATGCTTCACACATTTCTGGGAACACTTCTCTCAACGCTTCTCACATACGATTCAATCCCCCACTGACGACTGAATGCTGCGTCTATATCTCACCTACCACCAGCCGTTTTGTCGTGCACATCTGTGCAGTTAAAGATAAAAACATTCTGAAGCAAGTTTTAGTTTTATTTCTTCCACTGACGTACCCAACTATGATTTGTTCAAAATGCTGGAGTCATTTATGATGAAAGGTTGCAATATTTAACTGTTAGATAATTTAATATACAAAGCCAATTTTTAATAAACTTGGGGTATGTTTTTTTAACATTTAAAAGGTAACATGGATGGGTAAAAATTGTAATTGATGTTCAAAAAATGTGTTGTGGCCTGTAAATTTGGTTTTAATTTATACTTTGGTTTTTGAAATAGTGTTACAGTGGTCCCTCACTACTTCGCGGTTTATCGGCAAGGAATTTTGTTATTTAAAATAAATTATTTAAAATTATTTAGCACCTTCTGCACCTTTGTGCAGCCCATTCTGCAGGTTAAGCTTCCTGATGCAGCTGATCAGCTGTTCTCCATGCAGAGTTTTAAAGTGGGCAGGGAGCTGAAATCATGACATGCTGTGCTCTTTTAGAGCGTTTGAGTTTAGAAACATTGTTTAGAAGATTGCAAGAATGTGGGAAGGGTTTAAAATGCCTTTTAAATTTGATGCTTATAGCATAATTGTATTATAGTATTGTATCATAGTTAATAGCTTAGAGCTTAGCAATCTTCAAATGTATAGCTACTGTTGTGCCAGGGAGGGCGTATGGAGAATCTTGGGATGTATAAAATAGAAGGAATAACCTATTTGGCAAACACTAGGAGAATAACTGCATCACAACTGCCTTCACGCTGAAGAAGGTTTTAAAGATTTGCTGTAAACCAGCCTCGTTCTTGGCTTCAAACCTTGTAAATGACCTTGTGCACAGGTTCATATTGTGAGATCTCCTAAACTCTGTTAGCTCTTAGAGAATACGTGGAGACGACTATCAGCAATTACGACATAAAATTTACTTTGACATCTAAATTCACTGAGTTAAAATCTTATTTGTGTTGGCTATTGTCAATTAGTTGTGGTGGCCATCTTGATTTGTTTTTTGAACGTTTAATTAAAATCCATCCAGTGGTTTGTAAGACATTTATTGCTAACATCAGACAGAAATAAATCCGGTAGTTTTGGACAAAGGTTTAGGGACATAGATCACTCAATTAGTTAGTACTCAGAGTATGTTGAAGATGATTCTCAGCTACTACCACAGCAAATTAGAGCTCAGTAGCTGTAACATTGGTTTAGTAATAAGCATTTTTGTTTTGACTACATTTGCTTGATGCTTGTCCAGAGATTACTTGGTGAAAGTTTCTTTCTAAACCATCCATAGGTTTATTATATATTATTCTAATGATGTAGATAAGTAAACCCCCCCCCCCACCACCCACCCACACACACACACACACACACACACACACACACACACACACACACACACACACACACACACACACACACACACACTATTAGTGGTCAACAAGGGTATTTAAGATGAAGCCATCTCAGGCAGAGGTAAAAAAAATCTGATTGGGGATCAGTGCAGATTTGCCAATATCAGGACTAGTTGAATTATTAAGGCGATACTGCTGGAGAAAGTGACCCCTGCCACCTGAGATCCTCGTTCATCAGTCGAAACGCAGAGAAGCACAGATGGTTCTTTTCGTCTGAGGGAGCTCTTGTGTGTCCACATGTGGCTGTAAGATAAACTAATGTGTCAGCCAAAAGGCTGTATTGGCCTATTTGTGCTTTATGTCCTTTTAATGAAAGTGAGATTTGCTTTTCCAGCCCCCCCCCCCCCCCACACACACACACACACTCCCTGATGCCATGCTGTCCCACTTACAAACTCCTGCAAGACTCCTGTCAGCAATCCAACCAAATACACAGCATTCAAAACTCTGATGGGACAAACATACATGTGCAATAACCAGTGAGGACGCTGTCTCCATTTGTCTGCTCAATGTTAGTCATCACCAGATCAAGAAAAGTGTCTTTGATTAGAAAATGGATGTATGTGCTGTGGATCAAACTCCTCTCTGTGGGCACACTGTGCATTAAAAGAGAACAGATCTTACAAAAACAACCTTAGGACAGCAAAACCAGCCTCCACCCAGACCTTCTCTTGTCACAGTCATGTGACAACATCAGAAAACGTACTGTCATTTAAGAGTCGGCTTCTCACTTCTAAGTAAACGTGAGTGTGGAGTCGTGGATTTTTAGGCCTCTCTTTATTCCTTTGTATCATCAAAACATGACATGCTGAAGAAAAAGTGCAATGAGAGTAAACACATCTAAAAGATTACCATTCCTTGAAGGAATGCATGTCACGTGAGTTTTAGGGCTGAGTTCATCTGGTGTTAAGAAATGACAAAGCTGGAGATGTTTTGATCAAACCTTGATCAGTTGTAAAAGTACAAACACATTTTTTCTTTCCAGGATATTAAAATTTGCTCACTGGTTTATGAAATATTTTGATAATAAACATTGTCAACTCCGACAGTTAATGCCAAGATCCATCCATCCATTATCTTCCGCTTGTTCCGAAGTCGGGTCGCGGGAGCAGAAGCTTGAGCAGGGAGGTCCAGGCATCTCTTTCAACAGCCACCTCTTGTAGCTCTTCTGGGGGGACCCCAAGCATTCCCAGGCCAACCAAGAGATATAGTATCTCCAGCGTTCCCTGGGTCTTCCTCAGGGTCTCCTCCCAGTCAGACATGCCCAAAGCACCTCCCTAGGGAGGTGCTCAGTGAAGCATCCTTACCAGATGCCTGAACCACCTCAACTGGCTCCTCTTGATGTGGAGGAGTTCTACTCTGAGTCTTTCCCAGATAACTGAACTTCTCAACCTATCTCTAAGGGAGAGTTCAGCTACCATGCAGAGGAAGCTCATTTCAACCGCCTGTATCCACAATCTCGTTGTTTCAGTCACTACCCAGAGCTCATGACCATAGGTGAAGGTAGGAACGTAGACTGACCGGTAAACAGAGAGCTTTGCCTTACAGCTCAGCTCCCTCTTCACCACAACGGACCGGTACAGAGTCCGCAATACTGCAGACTATGCCAAGTCTTTATGCCAAGATTAATGCCAATATTTCAAACAAAAATGTTTCACAGTGTATTATGCTCAAAGTATGAGTTGGGGACATCAAGGTTCATGCTCAATAATCCATGTAAAAAAAACAACAATGTTCAGTCAGGTCATCTGGACAGTTTCTTTGTCCATTGTCTTACTTTGTTGGGACAAGATATTTACTTAACATCTGTAAAACTGACAGAGCTGTAGTTGTTTCTGTGCTTTTAAGGTCAGTTATTTGTGGAGCCTTCTTTGGTCAGCTCTAAAAGTTAACAGGTTATAGGCATGAACGCTATAATTTTCTGAAAGTTTATTACCATTAGTTCAGTTACTGTTAAGATATTTTGCTAATGGTCTTGACAAACAAACACAGTCTGGCCAACATAAGCAAGAATAATATCTGTCTTCCCCTATTCATTGTCAGGTGATGAAAGTAGATGTGTCATAGGAGAAACAGTGCTTGCGTACAAACACCAAAAAAGGAAGAGACATGCACAGAAGGAGAAATTTGTGTGTGAAACATTAACAAAGAAAAAGAAAACTGACAGCAGGTAAGGGTCAGTGTTGGGTTAAGGCAGAAGAGGGACGAGCAGCGATGATGTGCTCCTGGGGATCAGTACTGAAAGAAACCTGAAGAGAGCAGCTTCACTGGAGCTTTTAACTACACTGGACCCTGACAGGTAACTAGACCCACACACATCAGAAGAACCCGGGGAGAAAAACAAATAAACTGCATGACTCAGGTGTACACTGATAAGAAGATCTTTGTTTCCTTCTCCCTGACACACAAGCAAGGACTGTCAAAAAAGTTCACTGTTTTTAATAGAAAAAAATATATATAATAAAAACGGACACATTCTAGAGCAGAGAGGAAAGCATGGAGGTGGGAGGGAGACACTCCAGTGATGAAGGTGTGTTTGTGTGTGAGTAAGAGAGAGAGAGAGAGAGAGAGAGAGAGAGAGGTAGATGAGGTGAGGAGTAGGAGGAGAAACGGGGAGGGAGTGATGTAGAAAAGGGAGGGTGGCGAAGAGAGGAACGAGCCACACTCGGTTGAAGGGCTCCTGTGGAACGAGGAGCGACTTTTCTGAGTTGGATCAGGAACGATATGCTTCATGACAGAGGTGCTTCATTCTGCTGTGACTGGACAGAAAGGCAGCTGAAAAGATGGACAGATGGAACAAGCAGGGGGAGCAGACCTTCAGCTCACTCACAATCACATCTTTCTGGCTGTTTATTCTGATCTGAACGGTTGGGGAACATCGTTGCAACAAGGTTTTCAAGGTTTGGTTACTTCTAGGATGACTGACCTCCAGGAATAAAGAACAGAAGAAGTTGGAGAAAGTTTAGTCATAAAGTTGGATACGACTGAAACCACAATGGACGTATACACAATTTTGTGTTTGGTTTTTGTTGCCTTTACTCCAAGAGGTAAGTTTTTGTTTTTTTCTCACTGTATATGATTTTCTTTCTGTCATAAAGAAATATGCCAAAGTATTAAGTCGTCTAAAAAGAGGGAGGGGCATTTAGTTTAGTGATAAACCAATTAAAAGGCAGACTAATCAAGTAAACTGACTGATTGAGGTAGACCATGACGGATTGCCATTGATTTTATGACCAAAATCTGCCAAATAAAATTGGTCAACCAATTAAAGTCCGTTGGACAACTATTCTAACTGGTCAACTGGCCAACCAGCTTGGTCAAACTATTTTAAATGGTAAGTATTAGGCATAGCTGATAGCAACATTAAAATCGATTGACCAATTAATTGACAAACTGATTTTATCATCTGATATTGGCCACGTAAAAATTCAACGTGACCATGCCTGTACATATTTAATCCATTAACAAATGGGAAAAATTAAAATGCAGCTGCTATAACCCACATATTGTAAACCTAATTTATTTATTATTAGTATTATTTTTACACTGCTCTGTATTTTATTTTTAATGACACAGGTTATTCTAAGTGTTGTTATATAAAATGTATTTAAGCTCAAGTAATTATTATGTTTTAATAGAAAATAAGCATTGGCAAAAAAATTGTGTTTTATTATCAGCAATTGGCTGACCTGATTGCAAAAGATTGATATCGGCCTTAGAAACACATATCAGTCTACCTCTAATTTATTGTTTTATATTTGCTTAAGCTGTTTATTGAACAGATAAAATAGGTGTTTTACTTTTACTTGTATCATACGCTCTAATATTGCATTAGTATGTTATAACTTTTTCAGATATTGTTTACATAGAGGTTTAGTTGAAAAATATAGTATCCATCAACTCTAACAAACACCACCCCGCTCACTGTTTGTGTAGATGATGTACCACTGAGGAGAATAAATGCCATGCTTTTTTTGTCTTTAAATTGCTGTACTCTACAAATACTGTTTTTTTTAAGGAGCAATGGGACTCTTTTTATAAGTTCAGTGGTTTTAATCTTAGTCATCGTTGTACAATCCAGCCTCAGCTGAATACTATATATTAGAAAGGCAAGAACTTTGTTGCTTAAGGCTGGATTCGCAACGTGAGTCATAATCACAGACAAATTCATGCAACCTCGGGGACACAAAAGCCTGTTTTCAATAGTTTTTTTGTTTTAACTGAATGAGAGCAGGATCAGCCTTGGTGACTCAAGCTTTGTGGCCTTGATTTATTATTATTATTATCAGTCTAGTTAGAGTATTTGCTTTATTTGCTGCTGTTGCAGCCCTAGCCTGAGAGAATTTTTGGCTCAAAAGAGACCAGTTCTGGGTTTAATTGCTAGTTTGTGTCACATCTGAGTAATAAAATGGAATAAACTGCTTTGTATTAAAAAAAAAAGTATAAAATGTCACAAAAATTATATTTATCATTATACTTTTGTCAGATCTGAACTTTTGTTGGTGAATTTTTTTTTAATACATAAGTACCTAAGGGTAATTTTTTTTTTTTTTAATTGTTTTTCATTAGGAGGCACAGTTGAGCAGTTGGTAGAGCTGCCTCCTCTCAGTGAGAAGGTTGCCGGATTAAATCCCGGCCAGGGAACTTTCTGGGTGGAGGTTGTATGTTCTCTCCGTGTATGCGTGGGTTTTCTCTGGGTACTCCGGTTTCCTCCCACAGACTAAAAACATGCATGTTAGATTGACTGGTAACTCTAAATTGTCTCTCTGTGTGAGTGAGAGATTGAATGGTTGTTTGTCTCATTTGTCTCTGTGTGGCCCTGTGATGCACTGGAGACATGTCCAGGGTGTCCCCTGCCTCTTGCAAAATGACTGCTGGATGTGGGCACCAGTGACCACCATGACCTAAAAAGAAAGAAGCTGGTAAAGGTAATGGATGGATGACCGAATGCCAACTTCCATGTGTCTTTGTTTATCTACGAAAACAGTTAAAATGATTGAAAATAGGCAACAATTGGCAGCATGATGGATTAGTGGTAGCACTGTTGCCTGACAGCAAGAAGGTCCTCGGTTCAATCCCCAGGTTGGACCGTTTGAACCTGAGGTTTTTCTGTGTAGAGGTTGCGTGTTCTCCTTGTGTTTGCACGGGTTTTCTCCAGATACTCCGGTTTTCTTCCACAGTCCAAAAAACTTGCAGGTTAGTCTGCCTTCAGGCTCAGGCCTCCCTTGCAAAAGAGATCTCAATGGGGTTTGCCTGGTTAAATAAAAGTTAACATACAAAGGCAATGTCCAAGAAAGAGCTTCATGTGGTGGAGCGGTCCAACAATTCTGATATGTTGGAATGTATTCACAGAGGCATTGAAACATTCATGTTAACAGCAGACAGGGTATAAAAATGTTCACTCCCAAAGCTGTTTGTATCAACACTATAACAGTACAAGGTATGGATGGTGAACATAATAGACAAGAAATGTTTCGATTCAAGTGTCCTAAGCCATTCTAGCACTGAAAACTGCACCATTTGATATACTGTAGCTCAGAATAACCTTTTTACATTTAATTTAATACTTTGTAACCTATAAATATACAAACAAAAGTATCTGTGACATGACATTTCAAGGTTGTCGAATGTCCAAACCTGTCAAACAGATTCAGTTTCAAACAGGACCACAAGAAGTAAGGGGAAAGCGAGTATATCAATTTAATAAGGTATTGATCTGAATCCTTTCAGAACTGTGGATGCCAGTTTTCAGTCGGCTGAGAAACAGTCCATCAGCTTTGATTGAGTGGGCAGCAGATGTGGACCGACAATATCATAACAACACCTGAGTTCCAGTTTTCAGAATGCAAGTTAACATAGCAGAGCACGCTGAAATGTAACTTACATCATCCAATTCAACACAACTAAACTAACGTCAGAATGAATAAAAATCAGTCTGCTATGTTTTCTTTCCTGTGAGCTCACACAACCAAACTCATAATAAGGTAAAAAAAAAAACAACAACAACTAAGAGCTCCCATATAATTGATTTTTTGCATAAATATAAAAAACAAGACTAGACATTGAATAATGAACTTATAGCAAATGTAATGAAATACCAGTGACCCCAGATAACGAATGCATCTTCCATTGATAATAAAATGGGGGGAGGGGATACTAGAGGAAGTGATGAGACATATGGACTGAAACACAATGGATGGGCTCATTTCAGATTAATCTTTCTGCATTTTCTTTCCCTCCCCCTCCACACACACATACACACATACACACACACTTTGTCCCATCTCTCAGATACTGTCTCATGTAACCATACTCCACCTGTATAATGGAGGTCACCCTACTTTCACATTACACTCTGTGTTCTTTGGCACCGCTGCATCAGCTGAATTCACTGCAGATGAATGTATTGTTAACGGATGCCTGGTCCATTTGAAATGACGGATTCTATTTCAAATATGAAAACAGACACAATTCATAAAGGTTATGTGGATTATATTGGCTTCTTGAACAAAGTCTGCACATACAGTATGAAGTAAAAGATTTAAACTTTCTTTACAGCATCAGTGTCTTTAATTCTCCTGATAGAAGTCAGTTCCACAATCCTGAAAGGAAAATGTAGGTAAAGAAGATGGACGGATGGATGGATATAAAAATTTGAATTCATAATGAAAATAGAGAACAAAACCTAACAACTGAAAACCCATGATCATGACATTTTTGTTTCTTTTTTTAATGTGAAAATGTATTTTCTGTTTTTCTATAGCTATTCTTTTTCTCTATGCTTTTTCAACCCTTCTACTTTGTGTTTCTGCTTTTTCAAGTTTTGTATTACATCCATTATCTTTTACCCGTCTTTTTTCCATTTTGGGTCACGGGGGTCACCGGTGCCCATGTCCAGCGATCACTGTACGAGGGTCTGGGTACACCCTGGATGGGTCGCAGGTCCATCACAGGGACACATAGAGACAAACAAGACAAACAACCATTCACTCTCTCACTCACACCTAGGGACAATTCAGAGTTACCAATCAGCCTAACATGCATGTTTTTGGTCTGTGGGAGGAAACCGGAGTACTTGGAGAAAACCCATGCATGCACGGAGAGAACATGCAAACTCCACCCAGAAAGGCCCCCAGACCAGGATTTGAACCAGGGACCTGCTCGTTGACAGACAGCAGCTCTACCAGTTGCGCCACCGAGCTGCCATTTTGCATTACAGCTTTTTAAAAACAATCTGCTTTCTCCATCTGTCCCTCTGCCCCTATATTACATCTTCTTCTTCATGTTCTTTTTTTTGTTCTTCTTTTTCTTTTTGTTCTTAACACTGCTGTGTTAACTTATTGTGTAAATAAAGTTTTGTTAAAAATCAAAATCTTGTTCTTCTTTTTGTTCTTGTTGTTTATCTTGTCCTTCTTTCTTTTCCTCTTCTTGTTTGTTCTTCTTCTTTTTGTTCTTGTTCTTCTTCAACTAACACTGAAAGTTTAGTTTTTATTCAACTCACTTTCAACGTTTTCAGCAAACTTCAGCAAAGTCTTTCAGCGCTCAGCATTCATGCTGTGTTTTCACTGAACATGCATTTTTTTCTATTTGAATTTTAATATCCTCTTCTTCTATTGCAGTGTGGACCCAGATCGGACCTCGTGGCCATGCTGAAGAAAGGCTCATTCAGAATTTGTTTGCAAATTACAACAAGCTCTCCCGGCCTGTGAAGAACACTTCAGACACAGTGCTGGTCCACTTTGGACTCTCTATTGCTCAGCTAATTGATGTGGTGAGTGAAAGTCCACAGCCTTGTTGAGTTGCATCAATAACAAGCAATGAATGTCATTAATAAAGGCCAAACAAATTTTAATTTTCAGCTTTTCCCAATACAATTAGATTTGTGTAATTGTTTTTTAATTGTAAAAAACAACTGGAATTTGATTTTTACATCAACATTATAATTGTGTCCCTGTTTGAGGGTTTGATCTTCCTGTCTGTGGATGCAAATTGAATCAAACTGATTATTTTAAACAAGTTTTATTACAATTCTGACATTTCCAGGAAGTAAAAGAAGCTAAACTGCAAATGCATCCGTTTAAGAACCTCATATAAAACAGATTAGCTTCAGCACATTAAACTGCATGCTGCTCGTTGTTTATGATGATGCTTTGCAGCATAACTGTATGAGGAACTCATTTCCACTGGTACACTTTGTTTTAATATGTGCTCAAAGCCATACCAAGCAAGAGCAATAAAATTCAAATCGAATCTCTAATCAGCGGAAATTAAAACAGAACAGAGATATTTTTTCTCCCAAATTAAATTCAGTTGTCAAGTAACGCAAGCAGTAAATATTCTAAACGGTCTGTCGAACAGTATTTCAGCGGCATTAGGGTCGTGCCAACATAGCATGTTTATCCATGCTTGTTCTCTTTCTATTTCAGACCATTAGTTTCAAGCATGTGGCACTGTGGCTCAGTTGGAAGAGCTGCCACCTCTGAGGGAAAATGTCGCTGGATCGAATCCCGGCCAGGGGCCTCCGGTTTCCTCCTATCGACCAAAAACGTGTGTTAGGCTGATTGATAACTCTAAATTGTCCCCAGGTGTGAATGAGAAAGTGATTGGTTGTTTGTCTCGTGTGTCCCAGTGATGGGCTGGAGACCTGTCCCGGGTGTTTCCCGCCTCTCACACAGTGACTGCTGGATATGGGCACCAGTGACCCCTGTGACCCAGAAAGGAAGGAGTGGATAAAGATAATGGCTGGTTTCAAGCATTTTTAAAAATAGCTCTAAAAACAATTTTAATACATCAACACAAACATTTCCTGGAGAAGCATACAGAAAATAGATTATGCAACTGTTCCTCTCCACAAAGATGATTTTTCCAGTTTTTGACACGGAGTTAGCTGACAGTGCTTGTTCCACATGCCTGCTGGTGAGTGTCAACTCCAGGTGAAGTTGTCTTCTCCTACAGAGTGTATTCACTGACTGCTGTGTCTTAGATGTTGCTGTGGAAAAGCTGGAGAAAGCAGAAAAGTAACAGTGTGCTTCTGCATCAAGCATTAGCGGTATTATATATTTATATAGGTGTACTACAGAATACATTTAAAGAAGTTCTGACTGACACATTACTTTAGAAAACTGTTAATTCTACATTTTTTTATTTCCATTAAGGATGAAAAGAATCAGATGATGACGACAAACGTCTGGGTTAAGCAAGTAAGACACTGTGAGAGACAAAACCTATGCTGAAAGTGAAATAAAAATGCCACAGTCTATTAATGTGACTGTTGTTTTCTTGCAGGAATGGAACGATTACAAACTCCGCTGGAACCCAGAGGAATATGAAAATGTCACGTCCATCCGAATACCTTCTGAGATTATCTGGAGGCCTGATATTGTCCTCTACAACAAGTGAGTTAGGCTTAATTAAAGGCCTAGCACGCCTCAAAAGTATGCATGTCACCTGCCGCCTTTCATTCCAACGTTAGAGAATAATCTTATGTTGAGAAGTGAGTTGTAGTTGTTTTGCTTAAACCTTGAAAATAACGTGTCCCAAAATCTCATGGGATCTTGTGAAATGTCATCATGAAAGAATGACTACTACAACATCAGATTTTAGCTTTTATTAAAAAAAAAGACCAAGTTATAGTTCAGTTCTAGAACTGTGCCGCTCGGGGTGGCTGCATGTTGGAGCAGCTCTGTTACATTCATTCTGGGTTATTGCTTTCAAAAACTTTAATTCCTCTTTTTTTCTGGATTTAAATCGCTTTTTTCGGATTATTATTTCCTCTGGTATCAGATGCTGTGCAGCTGGAAGGATTTTTCCTGAAACTTTTTTACTTTTGGGCATTTGTTATGATGCGTAACCATGGCAACAAGGTGTTTGTTTTAACAACCAGGAGCAGCTGATTAACATCTCAAAAAGCTCAATAACATCTCAGCTACAGCCCCAAATCCCAAATGAGTTGAAAAGGAGGTGCCGTGGATGAATTCCCGTCAACCTGGCAGCGGTGCTCGAGTGCCTGACCGCCGAGATCTTGGAGCCGGTGGGAAACTTGGCTCGTGACAACGGGAGGAGCAGGATCATACCCCGGCACCTTTATCTGACTGTCCGTGGTGACGAGGAGCTTGGCAGACTACTAGGAGGAGTGACCATCGCTCAGGGCCAGTGACCATCTGCCCAGCATTCAGACAGTCCTGCTGCCCAGGAGGACTGAGACCTGCTGGATCTGACAGCAAGCTGGATCTGGATGGCTAGATCGGTATCTGTGGCCAGATTCTTTGGATTTACTGCAGGGGATCCTTCCTGCCCACAGCTATCAGCCTCTATATCAACTCATGAATGAAACCAGGATGATGAGCTACAACAACACTTAATTTCCCTTTGGGATTAATAAAGTATTTTTTAATTTAATTGAATTGTTATAGCCATATTGTGTTGACTAATGCCAGTTAGCTGTGGCAGCATCTTGAATAGAGGGATTCAAAAAGGTAATCAGTTATGGGTCCAGTGATTACTTTCTGAAGGTTTTAATAAAATCTGTCCAGTGGTTAATGACATATTTTATTAACAGACTAACAGAGTTGACTTCAGTAGTTAATGTCAAAGTTCATGCTCAATAGTCCAGGTAGATAAATCCAACAAAGTTAAGTCAGGTCCTCTGGACGGTTTCTTTTTGTTGAAACGTTTCCGCTTTCATCCAAAAGACTTCATCAGTCCAAGGAGCCACAACAAGCTCAGTCTTATAAATTGCATCTATAGTGAGTCAAGCCGTTTGATGATGCTAAGATGGTTTCTGGAGTCCGCCCTCCCGAAGACTTGTTTGAGGCAGTCATGGCCTCATTGCCATGGATTTATCTACCTGGATTATTGACCATGAACTTTGATATTTTCAACCACTTTGGCCATGATTGTCACAAAAGAGTCGGCAGGGGAGAGGGTGGACTACAGAAACCATCTGAGCACCATCAGACTGGTTGGCCCACAACTAAGGTGATACTTATAAAACTGAGTTTGTTGTGGCTCTCAGACTTCTGAAGTCTTTTGGATGAAAGACTAAATGTTTCAACATAAAGAAACCATCCAGAGGACCTGACTTAACTTTGTTGGATTCAATAGTTAATGTTTAAATGTTGAGCAAATATTTTACTTAATGACTAGCTCTCAAAGTTTGTGTTGCGATGTTGTTGAAGTTTCTGGTGCACAGATAAAGAATGTCTAGTTTCATTCAAATTTTAGATATTTTGGGAACACATGCATAGACACACAAACAGACATGGGCAAGAACTCTGCCTTGCACCTTTTGGTGGCCGGTGATAATTAGGGTGATAATTACGTCTTCTCCATCACACTGAAGCTTCTAAAAGTCACAATTTCCAAGACAAAATCATGTCAACTATTTCTCAAATGTTGTTGACTCAATTCCAACAGATGGCAGGACGGCAGGGGGAAAATATGAGAAATCCATTGTTGTGAGAAACATCTCATCTTGTGCCAAATTCATAAATTTATCCAGAATAAATGTGAACAAGGTCAGCCTTAATGGAATGGCTGACAAAGAAGCTTCAGCACTAAAGTAATACATTATGGTGGAAAATAAAAGCTGCGGATTGGAAATGTTCAACAAGCTGCAGATAAAATGTTTCTGTTGAGTGTGTCTGTCACAGATACACATTCACTCATTTTAAAATAAAGAAATCAACCTAAAGTAAACTTTATTACGAACAAGCAGGACATCACTTGCTAAATAAATGTCAGTATTTGAATTATATTTCTACTTAAAGAAAGAATACATTTAAATTTAGAGGAAAAACTAATGTTCAGAAATCAGATCTCGGATGACGGATTTAAGGGACAGAAAATATTTTCTCTTCAATGAAGACATGGAAAATTATCCACTTAGCCACCTTTTCTCTCTTATAAACTTTACTAGCTTCTTTGAGCTCATACAAACTAAGATTTATCAGCAAATATTAAAAGACATTTAATCTGTAGCTGATTATGCCAACTTGGCATGCAATGTTTTACTAACAGACAGAGTTAATGACATGGTTTTCAATTCAATTTCAAAAATACTTTATTAATCCCAAACGGAAATTATTTGTTGTAGTAACTCGTTATCCTCATTTCATTAAGAGATACTGAGGCTGTAGACAGGAAGAATCTCTTGTAAAGGTCCATCCCACAGTTGATCCTAAGAAACTGGCTGCAGACGCCGTCCGAACCGTTCACCCAGACTCGACTGGCCTCTCGGTTCCCCCGGTCTTTTAACAACAGATCAGTTAGCACTTGGACTATGTGATGGCAATGACCTTCAGCTACTAACAATTAATGTCAGCATCTTTCAGCCTAATTTTTATATCTGTAAAACTGACTGAGTTGTAGCCATTTCTGGGTTTTTCCAAGGTCATTTGGATGTGGCAGCCATCTTTAATTGTATTGACTTCAAAAGTTAATCAGATTTTACAAATTTGTCCTTTTTGTCTTTGTCCCCTTCTATGTTTGTAGTGCGGATGGTGACTTTGCAGTAACTCACCTCACGAAGGCACATTTGTTTCACGATGGCCACATAAAGTGGACCCCTCCGGCCATTTATAAGTCTTCATGCAGCATAGACGTCACATTTTTCCCTTTCGACCAGCAAAGCTGCAAGATGAAGTTTGGCTCTTGGACCTATGATCGAGCCAAGATTGACCTGATTAGCATGGCCAGTGATGTGGACCAGATGGACTACTGGGAGAGTGGCGAGTGGGTTATTGTCAATGCGGTGGGCAAGTACAACACAAAGAAGTACGAGTGTTGCACAGAGATCTATGCAGACATCACTTACTACTTCATCATCCGAAGGCTCCCTTTGTTCTACACAATCAACCTTATCATCCCGTGTCTGCTTATCTCTTGTTTGACTGTCCTGGTATTTTATTTACCCTCACAGTGTGGAGAGAAGATTACCTTATGTATTTCAGTTCTGCTGTCTCTGACAGTGTTTCTCCTGCTGATCACAGAGATTATACCATCTACATCACTGGTGATTCCACTGATTGGTGAATACCTGCTGTTCACAATGGTATTTGTCACACTTTCCATCATAATTACAGTTTTTGTGCTGAATGTACATCACCGATCACCAAAAACACACAGCATGCCTCACTGGGTGCGTAGAGTGTTCTTGGACTTGGTGCCTCGAGTCCTGTTCATGAAACGCCCGCCAGGCACAGCAAAGCAGCACTGCAAGAAGCTCATAGAGATGATGCACCGTACAACCGTGATCTCTACCACAAGCAACTCACAAGCTTTCTGGATAGGATTAGACACAGAGCTGAGACAGATGACGCAGATGGATAATACACACCAAAGCACTCCATCCGACAGTCCAAGGATCCTTGTCTGCTCAGCCTCTCCACCAACTTCCCCTTGTGAGGACAGCAGTGAAGACCATCCACTGAATGCCAACCTCTTCTGCAGATCCACATCTGGCAAATATTCAGTCCTGTCAGAGAAACATCCCTTAAGTGGACACAACTCTGTGAACATGTCCGCATCACAGTTGTCCTTGCCTCCAATTTTGCCATTAGTACCACTGCAGAACCCCTCCAAAGAACGACCCAGTACGCTAGCTCTAAACGGTCGTTCCTTCAGCGCAGAGCAAATGTTCAACCATCAGGAGCAGCTTCCTCAGAGATCTGAACCTAGATGTCGCTCCCACAGTTTCCAGTACTGCTGTCTGCATGATGACAGCATAAAGGGAACCCCAAAGCTGGTGAAAAAAGTACCCTCTGCGAACTCGATAGAAACCACAACAGCAGTGTCCACCAAAGATGCAAGCACCCAGTTAGATCGTCCAAGCCCTACAATTTCACCAGCTATGCGACGAGCCATTGAGGGAGTTCAGTACATCGCTGATCATCTCAGGGCAGAGGATGCAGACTTTTCAGTAAGTAAGGAGAGTTTAATTTTATTCAAGTACGCAAATATTTATTTATGCTAATTCATCCTACTTGCACCATTTATTCTACCATGTTGTCATTTACTATATGTCTTTTGGCCTTTGTAAATATATGTATTTTTCACTTTTAGTACTTTATTTTGTATTCTTAATGCATGCTTTAGTTGTTCTTTTTCTTAACAAGTTGAATCAGTTCTTCTCATCCTGAACATTTCATTGCATTGTTGACCTTATGTTAACCTGCATATGACAAATAAACAGCATAACATAAAAGTTGCCAACAAAGTCTTAGTAAAACCATCAGTGTGCACATAATCATATGTATATTTTATAAGGTTAGCTAAATCTAAAATGGCAGTGAAATGCTAAATGTAGCAACAGGCTAGTTAAGCGTAAAAGTAGCATAACACTAGCTAATAGTTGCACAAGGTTAGCTAAAAGCTGCAAAAGATGATCAAAAAGCTAAACTAAGCAAAATGCTTAAAGGTAGCATATAAAGACAAAAATAGAACAAATATACTGAAGCTGATTTCTAAAAGAAAAATGTTTCTGAAGAGATATCAATGCATTTGTATGGAGAAAACTTTTGTAATTAAATTAAATATATAAAAAAAATGTTCAAAAATCAAACGTCATATCACTCATGTCCAGAATAAGCTGAATATTTTGATATATGGATGTCTAAAATACCTCAAAGTGGGCAGAAGCAATTAAATTGCAAAATATATAAATAAATAAATCAGGAAACAAGTGTTAATATTCATTCAACCTTTATTTATACAGGTTGGTCTCAATGAGCCTCAGGGACACATTTACAAGAGAGACCTGTAACATATTATATATTCATTATATAATATTTCAAAAGCATTTGCATGAGTATTCATGTGTCACCTGTAATTGGATTTATTTATTTATTTTCAAGTTTTTAACAGGTCTTACATTGTGCACTAATTGCATACCTTAGCAAAATATTCATTTGTTTGTAAAACACAAGGAACTGGTGACCTTTAACGGTCACTAAAAAGACGTAGCTGAAGTAAACTGCACAAGGTCCCACTGGAATTCAAGTAAAGACACAGTTTTAAAAGAAATGCATATATTGCTTTAGTTTACAAAATGAGAGGAAAAAAACCTCCTGCAAAATCTTTGCTCTCACTACAGTCAGATGGTCAATTTTTTTATTTGTCAAACTAAACAAACTCTAAAATGAAACGTTTCATCTCAGAGATTTAAGTACAGTATCTGAGCAGAGTGTGATCTGAGAACGGTAGAAGTCTTTTCACCTGCAGTACATTTTTCATATATATGAAAAATGCTCAACTGAGCCTAATCATACACAAAACCATTAATTGTTCAATGAAGATAAGATGACCAAGTATAATGTATACTTTCTGCTGGTGTTTGCTTCTGAATTCCTGTATGTTATTTTTTCATTCAACCTTTATACAGGTTATTCTCATTGAGCCTTGAAGACTGATTTACAAGAGAGACCTGATTTTAACAAATGTAAACAGTAGGCAACAATGACAACAGTAGACAATCATAAAAGAAAGCACAAATAAATTGGGAAAATGAATAAAAGAAAATGATATTTATTAAAAATAAACAAAAACAGCTACAATGTAAAAGCAAAGTAACATTAGATGTAACATCCTGTATGTGGTTTCCACGTTTTGCTAAGATCAGATGAACATGTCACACTGATATGATTCAAATGTCTCCCCATTCAAAACACTGTGATTTCCACTGTGTACCTTTACTTCCACAGTATACTTTTGCCCTTTTGTACACTTTACTGAGTCACTTCTCTGGAGAATTTCCAGTAATGAGGATCAGTGTGGCACAGACAGTCTCTTCAGCTGAGGAATGATTCTTTGAGGCATTCACAGGAGTCAACACATTTTATTTTTCATGTTAAAATGGTTTCAGTTTGTTTTATAAAAATACAAATTCAGATCATATTTACTTCATTAATTTGTCCTTTGTAAATTTATTCACAATGCTCCAAGAATAATCACAGGTTTGAGCTTTTAAAACCAGCTCCAGCTGTTTTCTCTCATCCTTTTCACAGTTTGAGTCATTTCCCCGTCTGATAATTGGTATATTCATTGTTTTTGTTAGGTTTAGATGATAAACTTATTACAAATGATCACCCTGATTAAAGGTATTCCTTGCAGCGAATGAAATTATTCAGCTTGTAAAATGGCAAAAAAAGATTTTTGCAACAAAAGTGTCATTTAACAAATCTGTAGTCAAGACAGAACATATCTGTTTAAGTAAAATGTTGTTTTTCATGCAAATAAGGTCAAGGTCAAGGTCAGAGTTAATTATTATTTTATTTTTTATTTTTTTTGTCATTCGCATTACATTTGGTACATGTGGTGGAACGAAATTTTGTACACAGGGTTCCAGTTACATCCAACAAAAATATAAATTGTAAAAGAAAAACAATAATGAGATCTAAGATATTATATATATATATAAAATGATGGCATGAATAAGAATCTGTTTGCAGCCCTGATGTTGTCGTTTTATTATGCGAGTGTCTGCAGTCGAAATAATTCACATACTTCTTTAGCCCTCTGTTTTAGCTCTGATCTGTAATCCAGAGTTGCACATCTGAAATATAAATATTCTGATTTAGAGGTATTCTGCTGCTGGCAGTTCTTATTTGCCTATGCGTATTGCATAGGGCCTTGAAAAGTATTGACTTTATTTCACTTTTTGAAACCGTGGCCTTAATTTTTTAAGACATCCACTGCACACTAAACTTGAATAATACCTAAAATAGCTCCTAGCACCTAAAGTGTACTGGACACTGTAGTTACTATTATGGAGATGTTTTTCAGTAGCAAAGAATAATTATATAAATGAGATTTTCTAAAGACATTTTACATCTTTTTAATGCCAAACTATATCAAAATGCACATTATTTAAAAGAGTTCTTCTGAAACATCCTTCAGACAAACTACAGCATAATTTTAAGGCACCATTTGTTTGTGTAACTTGCTGATAGTCTTAGCAGAAAATAAAAAGCAATAGTTTTTGTTGCATAAAAGTGCTAAGCATGTGCAAATATAATGTTTATGTAATGCTAATTTTCTTTTTTTTTAAGGTGTGTTTTGGAGATATAGCATTGTCTGTTAAAATGCAGTGTGAATGCTCATTACTGAATATTTTTTGCTAAAATTTACTGAAAAGGCTGAAACTGGGTTGTTAACCCTTGAGATGGAGCTAAAAGAAGCAAAAAAATAGCTGCAGACCAAAAAAAAAAAAAAAACAGTAAAAGCAGCACAAGAGCTGCAAAAGTTTAGATAAAAAGTTAGTAACAGAAGTCTAGGTAAGGGTAGATGCATAAAAGCATCCATAGGTCAAACAAAAAGCTAAGAGCAGGTGAAAACGCACTAAAAGTAGCAATAGGCAAGCTAAAAGTATCAAACGCCAAATATGTTAAAAGTAGAAAATGGCTGGCAAAAAGCTAAAAATAACAAGAGGCTAGCTAGAAGCCAAAAGTAGCAAAATGCTAGCTAAAAGTATCTGACACTTCCTGTACACTATATTCGCTGGCGTGAAAGGTGCTTAACAAAGGTCTTCTACTCCCGTCTGTTCTGGGCCAGAAACGTCTTGCTTCTGACCCAGAACAGACAAATAGTGTCTGGATGGTACCTCAGGTGTGGTTTAGGGTCTTCATCTTTACCTCCCTCGTTTGTTGCCAGGTGTAGTTTAATCTGTCTATCGTGTGCTTTCTTTCAAGTGTCTAATGTAGAACTGTGACAGAAATGTTACCAGGTTATTTCCCAATAATATTTCACCTTATTCTCATGATGAGAGCCTCCATGTTGTCTTGATGACAAAAAGCAAGTAGCTGTTAATTTGAGATGGTGTTTGCCCAGAATTCAACCCAACTCAACTTTATTTAAAAAGCCATTTAAAACTCCATCCTTGTGGAAAATGTTGAAAACTGTGAATCACCCCGAACAGTGCTGCCTGAATTGGGTAAACATCTCAGTCATGAGTAGAGCTTCTCCATTCACCTGCACAGGTGGGGAATTTAGGATGTTGGATGTCATCAACTCTGTCTTCTTCAGACTTGTCTGCTGATGAGATCTCTTCTCCTTGGAGGTGTTGGTGCGTGGGAGTGTAGAGGATGCTGAGTCAGCATTCACACAAACGCCATGTACAAGAGAACAAAATAAAATGTGGAAACATTATATTACACCGACCAACTCTAACAAGAGGAGGCTAGTCTAAAAACAAGACATCTATAGTTTGATTGTGAATTTTAGAGAGAAAAATAAAGATTTAGTGACATTTAGAATAGTGATAAAAACATAAATAATTCACGAGAAATCAATGGAAGGTGAAAAGTGCTGTCCTAAGAAGAAATCTGATGTGAGATTAGAAATGTCTCTTTGTGCCATTTGTTTTTTCTGCCAGGTGAAAGAGGACTGGAAGTATGTAGCGATGGTCATTGACAGGATCTTCCTCTGGATGTTTGTGCTGGTGTGCATTCTGGGATCTGTGGGACTCTTCCTTCCTCCTTGGTTGGCTGGAATGATCTAGAAGCTGTGCATCGAGGAATATGAGAACTGATAGAAAGACAGACTGTCATATATTGTAAGAAAAGAAAAGGTTGATCTTTTTTCTTTTTTCCGTTAAAAGAAACTGCAAGTCACAAATGTGTGCAACAAATCCTTTCTTATCAAAAGCTTCCCCTCAGAGAAAAGAGATCAAATATCTCTCATTGATCCTCATGGGCATATAAATCTTTTATTAGGGCCAAAGGCCAGTAGCAAAAATATCCCAAGGTGCCACTTCCTTTTAATCGAGCTACATTCCTAGAACTGTCACTTTGTGATGAAAAATGTGAAAAATAGACTTTGACCAAATTATAAATGTTGATGATAGAACAAGACAAAAAAAATAAAAAAATCAATTTCACTTTATGTGTTGGGTTTTTGTCTCGGTATCTTGACAGTAGCACAGCTGAACTTTCACAGAAGAATAAAGTTATTCTGAAAAGTATGTTTCTATGAAACTGTATCACAATTCTTCTCTGGAATAGATTTCTCTTTGTTAAAACAGAAATACACATCAAGTTTGGCATAATTATTATTATTCATTTATTTTTTATCTCAGCATGTGAACACGCAAATAGTTTTTTTTTATTTTTTTGGCGTTTACTGACTTTACTTTAACAACTCAATTAATTTAAATCTCTCCAGTCTTTATTAAACTCCCCTTAACGACCACATGTGCAAAAGCTCACATGCATTTTTCTTTTTCTGCTTCATAAGCAAACATTTTGCATTCATAATCATTCACTTTAAACACATAATTATTACCTGCTGCAGAAGGTGAAAGTGTGATAATGTTCTTGCGCTCTTTGCTGTTTGCTTGTCTGTCTGTTAGCAAAATATCTAATAAACCACTGAGTAGATTTTAATGAAATTCAAAAAGTAATCATTGGATATACATCTACAACCGTTTAGTCAACTCAATAAAAGATGGCTACCACAGCAAATGGTCCTTACTAAAGACTCCTTAGAAGAACGAATAAATGGCTAGGTCAATAAATTGTACAGAAGCTGAGCTACACTTTGTTGTGGTAGTAGCTGAGAGTTATCTACAACACATACGCTGAGCACTAAAATACCTTGGAAGATCTTGCTCTATTTTATGAAACTGGGCATGAAGTAAATTTCAAGATTTGACAAGAGAAGAGTTTCGTTTAAATTTCCTTCATGCAAGCCATGCTCTAATTTAATGTTTGTGATAAATAAACAAACAAACAAACAAAAAAATCCAATACACTAGTCTATTGTCATGGCAGCAGTTAGCTTTAAGACCTATTTTAATATAACATGGCTTCGAAATTTAAGCTCTAGTTTTTACTGCGTTTAGATTTTAGATAATTTTATGCACAGGAAAATTCGTAATGTGGTTTATACGGACCATGAACTCCATGAACTACAAAAGGTTTATAGCTGAACTTATATGGTAGAGTAAAAATGCTTGTGTTGCAACTGTCAGGCTCATCCTGTTATTATATAGGAGTTTGGCAGCTTTATGGAGAGGATCTCTGCTGAAGGAAAAGGAGATAACGTGGGAGGTGAGATGCTGCAGGAAGACACACTGTATGTGAGTGAGAGGAGAGGCAGGTGCACAGGGAAGAGACTAAACTTAAAGCTTGGGAGGTAACACTTAGTTTGCTAATAATAAAAACTACTTTTACTAGAAAATGTCTAGCCATACTCTGAGTGTACCAAGTTTTTACCTATTCATGCTACAAATGTATGTAAATGTATGTAAATGTATGTATGTAGGAAGAGGAGTTTCTCAGCGTGTCTTCAGCAGAAGTAAGGAGCACCTTCAGGAGGATTAATCCTCACAAGGCAACTGGCTCAGACAACATCTCAGGGAAGGGGCTAAGAGACTGTGCCCATCAGCTCTGCGAGGTGCTGGCCAATGTCTTAACTCTTCTCTCACCCTGGCAACTGTTCCCACCTGCCTGAAGACTGCCACCATCATCCCAGTCCCAAAGAGCTCTGCAGTGACTGGTATGAATGACTATTGGCCAGTAGCCTTCACCCCGATAGTCACTAAATGCTTCAAAAGACTGGTGATGACCCACGTCAAAGCTACCACTGACATCGGCGAGGACCCTCACCTGCATGCATACCACAAGAACCGAGCAACAGAGGAGGCCATCTCCTCTGTGTTCCACACTGTTCTCACCCACCTGGAGCAGGACTCCCACGTCCTTATGCTCTTTGTGGACTTCACATCCGCCTTCAACATCGTGATCCCCCAGACTCTGATGGACAAACTACTCACACTAGGACCAAGACTCTCCCTATACAACTGGGTTCTGAACTTCTTAATCAACAGACCACAGTCTGTGAGGGTCTGCAATTTCTCCTCCTCCACCATAACCCTCAGCACTGGCTCCCCTCAGGGCTGTGTGTTAAGCCCCCTCCACCTACCCATCCAGGCTGTCATATTGTAAAGTTAGCAGACAATACAGCAGTGGTTGGATGCAATACAAACAGCGATGAGTCCAGCTACAGGCAAGAGATGAAACACCTGGAGAGCTAGTGCAGGAAGAACAACCTTCACATCAATGTGAAGAAGATGGAGATGGTCATGGATTTCAGACAGAGCAAACCCACCTACACCCCCTGAACATAGGAGGATATGCGGTGGAAATGGTCTCCATCTACAAGTACTTGGGTGTGCACCTGATTGACAACCTCAGCTGGGGCAACAACACTACCAGCCTGATCAAGAAAACTCATCAGAGACTTTACTCCTTCAGGCAGGTGAGGGGAGCTGGACTGAGAAGTTCAGTCCTCACCTCCTTCTACAGGTGTGCAGTGGAGAGCATCCTGTGCTCCAGCATCAACATGTAGCATATGCTGCACAGATGGAAAGATACAAGCTCTGCAGAGAGTGGTGAAGGCTGCACAGAAGTCTGTCGGAGTCAGCCTCTCCACCATCACAGACATCTACACCTCCAGATGCAGGAAGAGGGCCACCTGCATCATGAAAGACTCCACTCACCCAGCACACACACTTTTTGCTCACACTTTGTGTACACAATTTTGTTCAACCTCATGCACCACATGTGATGCAAATGACAATAAAGAACCTTTGAATCTTGAACCTTAAATGCTAATCAAAAAGAAGGAAAAATCATTTCAAAACATCTTTTACTGACAAAATAAAATTTAAAAAGCTGTTATATCCAGCATGGACCGTTTTTAAATCATAAAAAATGTAATATTATGTGGCAGTTATTCAGATACTGGTGACTTTTGCAACATGCATTGTGGCTTTATTCAAGCTTGTGGATACAATACTGTCCATTGGCACAAGACTAGACATTAAATCAAATGAGATATGAATAAAGGGCTCATAGAGGCACAATTTTCACATGACAGCAAGCAAAAATTTAATGCTTTGTGTCAGAAAACAACGGACAAAATTGTTGTAAACAATGTCAGGCATGTGCATGTTAGATAAAACGCAACAGTGAGAAAAGGAAGCATTTCAAATCAAAGGCTGAGCATTCCTCGAGGGAATGTACATCACCCTAATCCTGTCACGGCAAACTTTAAAACTGCCTTGTGTTGACTTACAGCCATTCAGGTCAAACTTTAAAGATAACATTTTACACAGTTTAATGCAACATTTTGATAACTCGTGGGATTTATTAGCTCTTGGATTGATACTCTCAGCTACTACCACACAAAGTTTAGCTCAAAATCTATCAGTTCCACACAGTTATGTTAATTTTTGGGTTGGCTAAGGTCAGTTAGCTGGGATGGCCATCTTGATTTATGCTGATCACAAAACTTTATCAATACTTTCTGGAAATTTCATCAAAATCTGTCGAGAAATTTAAGAGATATTTTGGTAACATGCGAACAAAGTTGCTTGTGTCAGTTAACGCCAAAGTTTTTAAGCAGAGAAGTTGTGAAATGTGTTGTGCTCAAAGTATGTATTGGGGATGATGCTCAGCTGCCACCACATCAAATTTTAAGTTATTTTCTGTAACTTTGGCTGAACTTTAGCCATTTTTGTGTTTTCTAAGGTCAGTTGACTATGGCGGCCATCTTAGATTAGGTTGCCTCCAAAAGTTAATTACTTGAAGACGTATGTCCAGTGACTACTTTCTGAAAGTTTCAGAAAATATTGTTTAATGATTCATGAGATATTTTGCTGACAGTACAGCAAATCCATACACATAAACAGACAAAAACATTATCGCCCTTTGGCAGCGGGGGGATAATTAAAATAAAGTCTGGTTTCTACTAAAATCTATTGAAGGTAACTGGACTTCTTTCAGATATTCTGAAAAGAAAGTTGCCTTTGAATAAAGCAGTATAACCAAGTCCTGGATGATTCACAACCTTCACCAGCAGAAAGTCTGGCTCGAGCTGAAAAGCAAAAAGAAATAAAGGATAGTTTAAAACTTTTCCACAGTCCTGCTTATATTTAGACACACAGCCGAAGCTTTCCTCTGTGCTTCCTGTCATTTTTAGCTCGGGGACAGTGAAAAAAGATGAGCTGCAGCTAATTATTGTGGCTAAAACCATGACGGTGGAACATTTGGACAAAATTGATATATATTTAAACAGGACTGCAGTGATTCAGACGTGTGTCTCGTTGATAATGATGTAAGTTACTGGGTCGGCCTGTTCTCTTGGAGTTTCACAGAGAACCACCTGGGTGTGTTCCAGACAAGACAGCGACTCGCCCACTGGCAGTAAGTTTAACATACACCTATAGAATAAACTTTAATTAACACCTCTTCACTTTGGTGCTTGCATATCTTTGTTCTGCCTGGGTAAAACCTCAGATTGGAACAAAAAGCATGAAACGTTATACCTGAAAACCCGAAGTGACGTCCTCTATTCTGACCTGGACCAACAAACTATTGTATTTCCTTCAACTCAATATAGGACCATTGATCATTATGCAGATTTACTGGAGGACAAAATGGCTTTTTCACTCACTGTGAAAACACTTTGAACAAGGTGAAATTAATGTTTTTGCTTGTGCCTGTGTATACATTTGTCTGTAGCATTAGCAAAATATGTCAAGAACCAATGAATGGATTT